TTCAAATTACGCCTCAGAGCGGAGGCACGGTAGGGTTTTCTGGCCCGTCATGGATTGGTGCTACAAGAGCACATTGTGCTTTGCAGAGAGCTGAGAGAGTCGCTTGTATGGAAACAGCATGGCAAATAGTATCCCGTCACACTAAGTAGGCGGCTGTGGCTGGAGGGTACCCCCTCTGTCTTTCTCTTTCTTTCGCCAGGGCTAGGGTGTAGGGGTTTGACCCCCTCTCTCTCTCTCTCTCTGTCTCTCTTTTCTTTCTTTCGCCAGGGTTGTGGTGTAGGGGCTTTACCCCCTACACCGCGCGCGTTCGCGCCCCCGACTGTTGCGGGACGCCTGTGTTGCAAAAGGTGCCATCGGCACGAAAGGTGGAAGTTGCACAGCTTCCCTCGGCAACTGGATTCAGCAGGACAAGACAACCAGATCAAAAAAGGATGCACCCTAGATGTGCCAGTACAGCATGTAGGTTGATTGCCGATCGTAGGGGTTGTTCCCCTGTTGAGCTGGGCTCCCGGTTCTCTCTCTCTCTCTCTCTCTCTCTCTCTCTCTAGATGCCTTGCCTCCGGAGCACCCTTGCACAACACCAAGGCTTGCGAGTTGCTGTCCATCAGGACCTGTAGCACGTGCGTGGTCGAATGCCGGCTCACCAGCTTCTGTCTGTGGGGTCCGGAAGCTGAGCTGACGGCAGTCATGCGTCTCAACTTGGGATCAAACTCGAAGCGATGGGCAGCGTCAGAGGGTGGAAGCTCCAAAGCACCTGGAGCGGAAGACTTCTTGAAAGCCTGGCCGCAGTATGGCGGCAACGATTACTGACTAGAAACGCAGGGTATCTATGGGTCTCTGGTTTCTGTAGATCAACAATATCGAAAAGAAGGCGAATTCGGGCCTAAGTCCTCTAGCGCGGCGATCTCCAAAGGGTCGCCGAGAAGTTTCCCATTCTCCATCGTGGCACTATGACAACTTTGCAGGATTTGGTGTGCCGGTTCGGTCGGAGACAAGTCCCGCAATGGTGTAAGCCTTCCAAGAGAGCCGGCTGCTTCTGCAAACTGGTGCGGCAACATGACTCCAGCGGCTTCCAGCTTGTCACTGGTCAGTGTTCCCGTCTTGTCGAACAAGCAAGTTGTCATTGACGCAGCTTCCAGGATGCGCAAAGGCTCTGCGCAAATGATTTCCTTTGTTCGAAGAACCTCCATTGCCCGCTGCACCGCGTAGGTCATAAGCAACGGCAGGGTTGGCTGTATCACGAAGCTAAGGATGATGCTGATCTTCAGCCAACCGTTCGATCCTTTCCCGTGAAATGCAATTTGCAGTGCCGCAATACTTGCGAAGCCGAGCAGCAGAAGTACTACTTTCAAAGTGTCTTTGTCGCGGATATTCTCTTGACTGGCGATCGCCCTTCGCATTAACAAACCCTGCTTGCAATGGAACCCAGTCTGCAAGACGGCGCAAGTGCATGTAGCATCCTTCTCGGCTCGAGCTGCAAGGACTCTGGTGCCTGCATATAGAAAATGGTGTGCATCCCTAGGGGCCTCTGGTTTCCGGGCTTCGGCGGCTTCGGGAAGCACTGCAGACTTCGCCACGGGAGCAGATTCGCCAGAGAAGGCAGCTTCACTTACAGTGGCCGATCCATCCAGCAGAAGTGCATCACAAGGCACGTCACTATTCGCCTGCACTTGCATTATGTCACCCGGCACAAGATCCACAGCCGCTTTGAGAATCCACTCACCCGAGCGGAGTACAAACACCTCCTTAGATGCAGAAGCCGTAGCTCGCAACTGTGCCAAAGACTTGTGCCGCGACATCGCACCACCAACCTCGAAACACAGCAACGTCCCGAGGGAGAGGACTGTGAACTGCCAATAACCATCCAGGCCCCACAAAAAGACAGACGCCAACTCGAACAGGAAGATTGGCCGAAGCAATCGTGACAGTACCAATTGTCGTACCTGCGGTACAGCAATCCTGTAATCATTGCTGCCATATTGCCTTCGTCTTTCCGTTGCCTCAGCCTCTGTAAGGCCCTCGTGTCTGCGCTGGCACAGGATACGCAGCGTCTCACTCTTCTGCGGGACAGCAGCCGCAAGCAGGTTTGCGCCTCTTGTTCCCGTTTCGAGCAGCTTGTAATGCTGCCCGTGGTATCTGAATCGCAGTTCAGAACTTAGGGGCCATAAACTTCGAAGTGCAGCTTTTCCGGGTTCTGGAAGCACTAAAACCCAACTTCCCGAGCTAGCCTTTGCAGTGCGTCGAAAATCTAGACGACATCGTGCCCATGCAGACGTCATCCAAAAGCCTGCCAGGAACAAATGTGCCGTGATACTTCCTGCAGCCAACAACCATCCCCATGAACGCCTTGCAAAGATGATCGAAACTCCGTACAGCATGACAAGGGCGACACGTCGAGCAGTTCGGCGAAATGCTGCAGGACGCAATGCGACCACTTCCACCGCATCCTGGTATCTGCGCTCGATGCTCTTGCGAATAACGCACGGCTGCGACAGGCGACTACTTCGACGACTGCGCTGCTTGGCTCCACTGCTGCTGAGGGATCGCGGGGGGAGCAACGATGGAACTTCAGCAGATCCTGCAAGTCGACAGGCTCGGCCGGAGCAGCACGGCAGGCCCAAGTCCAACATCCGGCACTACACGAAGACACTAGAAGAAACTTGTGTGTGTGTGTGTGTGGATTTCTGCACAATGAAACCAATCTGCACAGGGAGAACACAACAAGCACAACGAAGCTATCGCCGATCTGTGCTTCATGCAATACTGCGTCACCATGCTTAATCCTCATCCGAACAGGGTCGTGAATACTCAAACCAAAGTTGAGAATTGTTCAGGCTTGCATGGCTCTGCCCTCGTACAGCTTGAACTTTGAAGGCCAGAACACTGGCATGGGTCCACGTCTGAGCATGTGTATTTAAGGATATGCAGGGACTTCAACGGCAGCTTGGGAAGTAAGGGAAATGGAATGGGAATGAATGGGAGGACAAATTTACTACAAACGAACCGAACTCGATTTTCGCGAAGTGTTGCGGACGCTCGTGTTTCAAGCGCATGTCAATGCAATCCAAAAGACATCTTGGATCGTTTGGTTTTGTTGGCACCGAATCTCCTTTTGTTTTCTTTTTCGCGCCTACAAGTAGCTTGTGTATTCACATGACACCATGGTTGTTGCTTTCACCGCGTCCCGGGCTGAAACCATTGGGGCTGGATTGGTCCAGCTGGTGGTTGATTATGGGCTATTTCAATTCGCAGAGTCGAAGCATGCTGCTCGTTCAATGTGCTGAAGCCTCCTAATCATCGATTGAATGCAACTCTCTTTGATTCATTTGGGAAGCGTGCAGGATGAATCTGGGGAGATTGGGCCCGAATCTCAATCGACGCCAGAGCTACTCGCCAACCTCTGAGTCAAGTTTGGAAGCATGTTTTCATCACAGCCCGTCGCAAGGGTCGCATATTAGATGCATACACTGCTTCCCACTCGCTGTCCCATCTACATACAGCTTGGCTGAACAAAGCATCCCTTCGAAACTTGGGTGGCCCTGCTGGAAAAATTCCGGAATATTATTTGTTGGGATCCCGCGCTCTTGCCTCAATCGCGTCTCCAACATGGAGGCTCTGAAAGAAGCAGTGTCCAAACAACAGCACCGGACGTGGCACAGGCTGCTCGGAGGTGCCCCCGCGGGTCGCAAAGCAGAGATTCGTGGGGCGAGTGGCAGTGCCAGGCGCAAGCGACGACGGAGAAGGGGATGGTGACTGCTTCGCTGACCGCAAAATCCCGCCAAGCAGCAGGCGCGGTGTGACCCTGCCTGGGACAGCAGCAGCGCTTGTGACGCAGGCTCGAACGGCCCAAAAATCCGTTGTGTCCAAAGTAGCAAGTATTGTCCATACAACCTGAGGCGGAGTTGACGTCATGATTACCGATTGCAGGGAACATTCAACGACGTGTGATGGTTCGGTGGGTGTCTTCCCACACGGTGTCGACCAGTTTTTTGTGGAAGTAACCATTCAACAAAGTGTATCTGGAGCACCAAGATTAGAGTGATTAGAGATGTAGTCTCGCAGCCCATCGTAGAGGCTGAAATCTCTTGCGTTTCTGCTGCCTTCTTGAAACGGGAATTTCGTCATAATCATAGACTCACAAATCCTCGGGAGCTACATCACTTCTCTTACGAGGGTCCCATGAAAATCTGGCGGGGGGGGGGGGTGTGAGTCGAAGGCTCCTCGAAGAGCAGCACATGAACTGGACATCAATTCCGCTCGTTGAGATCTGGCTGTGTCGTCAACCATAAACAACTGTCTTCTGCTTGGTCTGATTTTGGACGTTGCAGGTCTTGGCACTTGAAGGTGTAAATCACTCGATCTCCCACGACAAAGGTGGCGCCCTTGACCTGTGAACAAAGATCTACGGTCCATTCGGGTTTTTTGCCAAGAACTTTCACTTTGCCTGGTTGAGCATTCGAAGTTGTTGCCCGCACATGCGATCTGCAGCCAATACTCAGGCGCATCATTTGAGTGTTGACGAGCCTGCAGCAAAAATGGAGCCTCTTGACTACACTCACCTTCACTCGAGACACCCCAATCCACCAAATGCAGAAAGCGCAGATCTTACTTCCTGGCGATGTCATGCCCTAGCTGTCCGAGCTCGGGACTACCCGGCTCTCAGCAGTTGAGCCTAAAAGCTGCCGAAGACAGCGGCTTTGCCGTCTGCATCTAAAGGACAAATTGTCGAATATATATATATATATATATATATATGCTGAGCATGCCAACACAGCGGCATTTGGAAACACTTTCGCAGGGCTCACGATCGCAACATGTGCAGCTACATGGCCATTCTGCAAAAGTTCGATCGCATCGAAACAATTTGCTTCTTAAGATCGTTCTCATCAGTCGCACATGAATCCATGAACCTCCCATGACGATGCGAGCCGTCGGGTCCATGCTTGAATGGCGAACAAAGGCTGTCCGCTTGCGGGCGCCTTGGAACAATGCTTCTCACTTCACTTCTGTTTCTTGCTTTCCTTTGGTGCCGGCTTCTCCTGCTTTCAGTATCGAGGTGTTCCGCCATCATCGGCCCTCAACTATGTCGGCCTTCTTCGCATCGGTCTCCGGCTCAGGTTTGGGCGCTCGCCATGTTCTGCATCGGATGGGCGCCGGACGTACAATGAGACTTGATAAGGGACCGTGGTGATTCTCAGACTTCGGGTCTCCTCCACAACCAGTCAGCGACGTAGTAGAGCGGCAACTCAGCCAATGCATCGGACGGAGTGACTTGGAATTGGTCAATGGCATCAAGAAGCAGCCCCTCGAGCATGCCGCAGACACGCACACAGACTCGGAAACACGAGTCACTGACACAGGCCCGGCGTGAAGCAACGACACGAATAACAACTCGTCACTCGTCGTTTGCCAAGCTGTTGTGTCGAGGAGATGCAATCAAAACAATCGGAAAGATCACTAAAGTCACACCCTCTCGTTGCCAATCAGATAAGCAATATTGGCGAGTAGCTGCCCCTGCCACTGAAATTGAAAGCTCAGCGGTCTCTTTCAAACGGGAGCAGAGAAAAGTCCTACAGCCCTACACACAGACATTCCGCATCGATGCCGGCCGAGAGAAAGGCTGGGAGTGCAAAAACCAGGAAGAACCTCAGAGCCGGGAAGCACTGGGGCACTTCCAGCCAGGCATTTCCAGAGACTCAGCCAGCTCAACGACACTGAGAAGCGAACAAAGGCGGACCACGCTTCGTCCAGTGATTGTTTTTGACGGCAACGTCGGCCTGATTGTCGAAACTTGGATGTTGCGTGTAGGGAGCACTGAAAGATCTTCCCAAAGACCTACGTCATAGTTTGCTGACATACTATCGCTTGGCACCAGTGTTCTAGAAGCCTGACCTTGACAACCGACCGCTCCCATGAAGTTGTCCCGACCTGCACTCTCATCAGGTCCCAAAGCTTGTCAGACTGCTCCCGCACCTGCAACCGGCTCACATAGCTCTCACAAACTATCTGCGACACAAAGCCATGCTTGCCACGACTTTGAAATCATGTACGTAACATCATGCACCGCCTGGTCTGCCGCGTCTTCGCCTGACACCATTACCATTGGAAGGTGGCATTTTCAAGACCACAGCATCCAGACAACACATGCCAAGAGCGCTATCTGCCAAGTCCGTCCATTCCTCGAAGATAGACCGGCACAGCTGCAAGAAGGCCTCAGGGCCTCTGTCCTCCCGTCTGAGAGCCAGGCGCTTGGCATCTTCGGCGGCCTTTTGCCTGCGGACTCGACAGTGTCGCCTTCTTCTGCCGTGAGGTCCCAGGGGCGGGGCCTGTCTTCATGGCTGCCATGACTTGCCTCAACAGATCGAGCGCAAGTGCAGACGTCTCACCTGGACGGAAGAAGCAAAACCGCTGGGCTTAGGGAAGTGGGACCTCATTTCCTGCTGCTCTCTTTCTGCTCTTGGGGTTGGAGCTTCCAAAAGGTCATAAGTGCCAGCCACCATTTTAGCTTTTGCGGCTTTGTACTCTTGCAGCTTCTTTGGCAGGATGTAGGAAATGCAGGACTAAGCTCAGCCGCTCAGCGAGGCATAGCGAGGCTAGAGGTTGGGACTCCCGCGGAGTCGCCTCCTTCTGCTCGCTTGCGAACGCACACGTTTACCATGCGAAAGAGCTTCAGCTCTGCAGCCTGCGGCTCATGCAACTGTCTGGCAACTTGCTCTTGGGAACCGACATCCTGGGGTACGGCAGCCAATTCCGGGCACCACTGTATGTCGGTCGAGCCTCTATGTCTGTTGAGCTCGCAAAACATCAACAAACTAGTCTCGAAGGTCCATATGCTGCAAGAACCTGCATCTGCAAAAATATTCATCTTTGCCGCTTCAATCCGCACCTCTTCAGGCGGCAAATCGTTGGCCACAAGACGCCTTTGTTGCAACGCCGGGTTGGTTGAGCAGCCGTTGCAGCTGTGCTTTGAAGCTGCCGTTTAAGTTTGCTTGCTGCCTTTGCAACCAGATTACATGCAGCATGTCCGACCGGTTCATTTGGGTGAACCAGTGTCAGCCATGTGATGGCTTCAGCTAATGTCAACTTCTGCTAGGTTTGGAGGAGCTGGGGGCTGTGGTTGGGTGCAAGGGTGTCGTCCGTCGTAGCCAGAGAATCCTCAAGACTACGAGACCTATTGCATCCTCTTTCGAAGCAGAGCTCCGTACTCGAGGCTGTCCATGATCTGTCTGGTGAAGCCCAGGAATTCTGTTGCCAGGGCAAAGCCTTGGAAGCTGGCAAAAAATCCATCTAAAACGGAAGTCGCCTGAGCGGAACGAGCATCGCGCAAGTGGCCGTCCAGGCTGCATCGGCCTGAAATTTTGGCCGCCGCTCGAATCTCAGGCTGTGGGATTGCTCCATGGGAGAGAGCAAAGAGCCAGCGGTGCATCTTCGAGCTGCTTGCGAGACCTGGCTGGATCGTCACTTCCATGACTAAGGCTCATGGTGACGTGGAGGGATCACTGCCTGTCAAACTGCTGATTTGCCTTATCCAAGTTCAGCTTTTCTTGCTTCAGCTCCTGGCATAGGGCCTAAAGCTCTAAGGCGCTGCAAAAGAAGGCTCTAAGTCAGAGCAGAAGAGAACTGACACCACCTTTTCGGCGCCCGACGCGGCCTCCGGCAGCTGCTCCAGCTGCTGCTCAATGAATGCCCGCACGTCCTGTGAGAAAGCACACGGCCATGGCGGCCATGAACCGAAAAGCACTGCGTGAGAGGAAGTTGCAGCCCGGGCACCTCCTCGCTTTTTTCCATCGAAGCCTGGCAGATGTGGCTGAACCCGACTCCTCCGACTCACTGTTGCGCTATGCTGCCTTGAGTTCGTCGAGACTATCTTGAAGCTCTTGCGCAATAACACCTTCGTCGGCTTCTCTCACCGGTCCTACCTTGAACAGAATTTCCCGACCAAAACGCAGTCATGGATGTCCATATCCAGAGCACAGCAAAGGGCCTTCGCTTCGATTGCTCTGGGCTGCCACTTGCAGCCAACCTCCTGACGCAACCGAGCCACAAAGCCAAAGAGGTAAGACTTGGCAAAGGCCGTCAGAAGCGAGGTGCACAGGGAAGTCGAGACTTACGAGTGGCAAGGCCTGTGCAAGATGCTAACCTCACTTCTCAGGGCCCATGCCATGCTTGTGCCATGGAGATGTGCGCACGGGCGTGCAACGCTGCAACTCAGAGTGTGACAGCCATGTGCCCAGGATCGGACTGGTGCACCATCTTAACTTTAAAAAGCCCATGCCCGAGCACAGGCGCAAGTCAGCGATATTCTGCTTTGTGCGGACATGCGATTTCGGGGCGATGCTGATTGGTAAATTCACTGAAGCAACCATGGGCTCTCACTTGCTTGAGGGAAATCAGCGGCAAGGTAACATTCACACGTGGAACGGATTCAATGGCACCTCTCAGCGGACGATCAGATACAGGTTTCAATGCAGACACGGATATAGAGTCAGCATCATAAGGCATCCTATGTCTCTGGGATCAGTGCGAAAGTCACCTCCAGAGCGATCTCTGCGGCACTCATGGGGAATGCCGGCGTGATTCACGCTTGAGTTCATGTGTCCAGGTCTCGATTCAGCCCTGCAAAATCAAGTCGGTCTTAGTAGGGTTCTGCGCTTAGCTCCATACCATCACATTGCAAAATACCTCTTACACTAACATGACAAGTGATTATCAACAGCACCACCAGAGAATGAGTTGTACGATGTCACAAATAGAGACGTACGTCAGTTCAGCCCAGTGCATTCAGAGCCTCTTCGTTGAGCAGTCACTCTGACTGGGCAGATTACCCCCCCCCCCCCCCCCCCCCCTGCTGAAACTCGATGCAGCACATACACCCTATCCCTGGGAAACAGGGGTGGGCCCACCCACCCACCCACCACACACCCACACACCCACACAACCCGCACAACCCACACAACCCACACAACCCACACAAGCCACACAACCCACACCCCACCCACCCACCCACCCACCCCACCCCACCCCACCCCACCCCACCCCACCCCACCCCACACCCACACACCCACGCACCCAAACACCCACACACCCATACACACCCACATCCACACCCACCCACACCCACACACCCACACACCCATACACCCACACACCCACACACCCACACACACCCACACACCCACACACCCACACACCCACACACCCACCCACACCCACACCCACACCCACACCCACCCACACCCACCCCACCCACCCCGCCCACCCACGCCCACCCACGCCCACCCACGCCCACCCACGCCCACCCACGCCCACCCACGCCCACCCACACACACACACACACACACACACACACACACACACACACACACACAGACACACAGAGACACAGAGACACAGAGACACAGAGACACAGAGACACAGAGACACAGAGACACAGAACCACAGAGACACAGAGACACAGAGACACAGAGACACAGAGACACAGAGACACAGAGACAGAGAGACACAGAGACAGACAGACAGACAGACAGACAGACAGACAGACAGACAGACAGAGAGACAGAGACAAACACACATACAACCTTCTACAACTCGATTCAGAACATGAGGAGGCAGTGGTGGACACGGAGGAAGTCCATGAGTTTGCGAGGGTGCCCGCCATGGTCAATATTCGTTTACCATTACACGTGCCTGTTGGCAGAGAAGGGGTTGCTTCTCGGTTGCATGGCGTTGGACACCGTTCCCCGGCAGTACTCATGGGACCAACGGTGACAGCTACTAGACGTAAGGCCGACATTGTGGTCGTGTTCCGCCTCCTCTTTTCTTCTGTCTGGCACTGGGGAGCGGTATACTGTCACGCCTCTTTCCCTATGTTCGGTGTTCGCTTACAGCCAATCGCCATGAGCCAGTCCGGCCATCAGACGACAGCTGTCGTCACTCTCGGCCGAAGACTTGCGTGTCGGACGAAGTTGCTTCAAGTATTCATTGCAGCGGCGCCTGCACTTCTGTGTTTGGCAGTTTGGCAGTTTGCCATGTGAGCACCCGGCGCGGCATGAGGGTATGCAGGGCTGTGTGATGCCTCGGAACCAGACGTGGGCCCGAAATCCGCTTTGCCAAGCCCCACACAGGAGTCGAACAAAAAACATTCAATACAGCTCATTCTCTCCAGCCGTACTCTTGCCAGACCTCCTGTCTAGAAACGAAAAGGGGGATTTTGGTAAGCTTCGCACGCCTGGGCTTACGCAGTCAGTCATTGTCGCGGCGCGCAACAGCCCTTCCCCTGACTCTTGCTGCATTGAAAGAAGCAGAGGAAGAAACGATCCTTGTCGCTGTTGCTCTTTTTAATCAATTCGGGCAGTGTGGCGGCTTCCTTGGTGGCAACAGCACGCTGCCATCTGTCCCGCTCCTGCTCGAGATGTAGGACCTCATTCAAATGTCTGCAAAAAGAATCTCTTATTGTTCAATTGCTTGTCATTATTAGAAGGATATGCACGTGAGGTTAAGGGCACAACCTTGTAAACCCTCCATATCAAATCGGTGCCTCGGTGGCAACGGTCCTTTTTGTGACTTGCGCAAGCTACGCAGCTTTGAGAACTTGCTGAGCGTCACGCTTTCGGTTGGAAGGTGCTCAAAAATGAAGGCTTCGATTTCACTCTGATCCTTGGTGTTCCATTTTTCTACAAGCTGACTTCACATCAGGAAAGCAATGCAAAAGCCTCGTCAGTCATCTCCACACCCATCTTGTCCTGCACGACCGTGAATGTCCGCAGGCAAGCCCGGTTTTGATTTGTCACGCAACGACAGAGGCGCTCATGTGCCCACCGTTCCGTCTGTTTTCGGGAGAAAACACACCACAACCCTGATTCAAACGCGTGAGCAATTTGCACGGAGAGGGCGTGGTTTTGTAGATTCACGATGTAGCTCACACCCTTCTCCCATGACACGCTGAATTCTGCACATTAGAGCTGTGTTTGAACCCTTTCATATATGTTTTGGGGAGAGGGGCGTATACTACTCAGATCACAACCAACATGCTTTAGCATTGCCCTTCACTTTGACGCCCTCACTGCCCGTATTATCCAGTGTTTGATGCGGTGCTCCTTTTTTCTGGTGCAATATAAATGCTGGAAAGGCTGGACAACCGTGCCACATGCGCATGGTTGTTGCCATCATATTCGTGGAAGCGGGACTGTCGTATGCTATCACTTTTCGTGGAAAAGGGACTACCACAGCATGAAGTTCTCCATTGGCGAATTGCCAGTATTTCTGCAACAGGTTGCAGCCTGGGGATGCACATCCAGGACTTCAGCAGCTGCCAGAGCTAAGTGCCCATACTCTTTCGACAGCGGGTGGGCGGGCTGCTCGAAATCTTGAGCAAGCCTCATACAATGCTCAACTCTACGGCTGCGGTCAGAGCTTCTCACTTCCTTTAGGCACCGCAGCATGAAGTTCTCCATTGGCGAATTGGCGGTATTTCTGCAACAGGTTTCAGAGCTGGGGATACACATCCAGGACTTCAGCAGCTGCCAGAGCTAAGTGCCCGTAACTCCCACTTGTTAAGCCAATGCATGGCCGCTAGCCGACAGGATGCCTAACGCTTCCATTCCAAAGCTTGTTCCAGCGTAGCTGTAAAAGCCTGAGCCATTGTCAAAACACGTTGCCGGGTCTCCAAAGGCAAGGAATGAAAGAAGGTGCAGGCCATAACCTCTTGTGACTCTTGTATGTAGATTTCCATCATGCGGCGGCTGGCCCACCTCCCCCTCCGCCGTACGAACTCGCTGTTCTCTGTGGCAGAGAGGAGGCGAGTAGCGCCTCCAGGGCGGAACGACTCACTCTCACTCGCGCCAGAGGGGAGTCCTGTGCTATCTACGGCGTGCAGGGCCGAAAAGCATCCCTGCTGTAGGGAGGCGGCCAAAGGATCTACAAAGAGGGCAGCAAAGCAGGCTGTACAAAACAGAAAGCGAACAGCTCAAGCGGCGGGGTATGCCCAGAAAGCTCGCAGAGACAGCGAGGGCGGGGCGGAGGATCCCGCGAGGGCCGAACGCACGGAGGAGGCCACGGGGGCCGAGCAGGCCGCAAGGAAGATGCGACCCGCAGGGGACCAGAAGTCCAAGAAGACAGCCGCAGGAAGCAGGCGGCGAAGCAAGGCAAGCCCAAGGTGCCCGGGGTGCCCAGAAATCCACAGGGCTCCTCTCAGAAGGACTGACTTGCAGATCATACGAAAAGAGACCATGGCGGCAGCCAACTCCAGCAGGGACCAACGACCGACGGTGGCGTCAGCGAGCGACACAGAGGCGCCCAGGCCGCACGACGAAGCCGAACGAAGGACCCCAAGGCGGCGAGTGGCACGGTGCTCCCATGGCGAGAAGAGCTCCAGGGCAGACCACATGGACCACAGACGATGCCAAGAGGAAGGCAGGCGGAAGATCCCGCCGAGAGCGAGAAGCCCAGGCCACCAAGGAGAAGGCAGAGCCCAGTCATCGCAAGCGGCCGCACCTTCCACAAGCGAGAACCATTGGAGCGGCGGAATGCCAAGTGGGTCGCCAGGCAGGGGGGCAGGGCTCAACGGCAAGGAAGAGGGTGTGGCGCCCTCGCCGGAGGTACAGTGAACGGCAACCGGGGTGGAAGCCGACCCCGTGGTGACACGATGCAGGTTGCCAGGCACCAGGTCAGAGAGAGCAGGCGAACGAAGGACCGCGTCCCACTCCGCCTGAAGCTCGGCCGCGGTAGCAGGCACGCCCAGGCGATCCGCGCGTCGTTGGACCGGGGTGGCATTGCACGGCCCGCAGAGCCATTGCGGAGGGACACCTCTGTGAGCAGCGCGGCCCTTGCGCTTAGTGCCTGAGCCGTACTGGTACACCGGGCCGACAGTAACCCGGAGTCCGTGCAAGCAGGAACGCTGCGTCTGCAGGTGGTATTTCAAACGGTCAGAAGAATGAAAGTCGTGCATGCACCAGAGGCACACGGAGCCCGCCATGTACGCGGTGACATCAGAGAGGACTCCATGCTTGCGGTGAAGGTGGGCCCGGACAGCGTGAAGGCTAGGGAAGATGACCTGACAGACAGGGCAGCAATAGGACTGCGCAGCACCAAGCACGTGAGTAGCTTTCCGAGTCGAAAGGTCGTCCCACAGCTGGGCGCAGGCAGCATAACGGTGTCCGAACTTGCTCAGGGCCTTGCAGGCGCGGAGCAGGGCACGCCCATGGTTCCGCACAAAAAGGACCGTCACCGCCGGGGGCTGGTCCGGATCCCAGATGTCAATAAGGGAAACTCCCACTCGCATGCAGGCCGAAACAAGGGCCTGGCACCACGGGAGCGCCCTGTTCCAGGCGGCATCAACAATTTCGCGGACAGCCGAAGGTGCTTTGCAGAACAGCTGCACACACAGCCGGCATTGGCTGAGTACGGTCGCAAGATCCGGTGGAGGGACGTCCGCAAGCAGCCGGAGGAGCGGAGTAGTGAGCTTATGCCCTACTTGCCACGAGGACAAGAGAATTCGGGCCGTGCGCTCAAAAAGGCCTGCCAGCGGCGCGGTCGCTCTGCCCGACTCCGCAAGAGACATAGCGAGCGAGGAGTACGCCGACGGGAGAACTCTGCCCGCAACCCAAGCACGCTTGAGCTCCCACGGGAGGCAATTTGCCATCGAGGCCGCAGCGGAGCCCCGTTGCGCCGCGAGCTCGCAGTCTCTGCGTCCAGTATCTCGGGGCAGTTGAGCAACTCCCAAGTATTTGTACTCCGGGCAGAGACGGATGGAGTCCGAGCCGGAGACCTGCAGGAGTGCGTCCCCGCTCAGCAGGGCCCCACGGGCAGCACGAGCCCCTTCACCTCGAATGTCGACCAAGGCTTCAGTTTTCCCCGCGCCGAGATTGACCCGGAAACGGAGGAGTCGGAGAGTCTCAAGAATGACACAGACGAGCTGGGGAAGCTGAGCCTGCAAATCAGCTGGGCAGTCAAAGTCAGCAAGTACCGCGAGGTCATCAGCCCACCCGATGGGCTTAACACCGGGCGGTAAGCCAACCTCAACTCCAGCACTGGTGTGAGTAATGCCGAGCTGCGCAGTGGCACGCTGTATGTGCTGCAGTCCAACGGCAAAGAGCGCTCCGAACAGGATGTCAGCGAGGCCATCCCCAGGACGAGAGCCACGGGAGGCAAGAAAGATGTTGGAGGAGCCCGACAAGGACCAGTGGGATAGCGCCACACAGTCACGGAGCAGGGCAGCGACATCGTCAGCGACCCCTAAAGCAGCAAGAGCTCCTTGTTGCTGAAGCTGCAAGACAAGACCTGCGAGGTGATGGTGCTCTGGCACCTGGGCATCTGCTGCGAAGCCGTCAAAGAGCAAGTCCCGACTGGCCTCATAATAGGCGGCTTCGATGTCAACAAAGACAACGGCCAAACAACGCCCAGCTGAAACAGAGAGGTCCCAAGCGCACCGGAAAGCGGCAAGAGCAAACCCCGTGTGGACCCCTTTGCGCCCTCCCAACTGCATGGGCTCATAGCGAGAGAGGATGTGCCCTCCTATGGTCGACCGAAGGTGCGAGTGCCATAACTTGGCAACGCCATTAAGAAGGGCAATGGATCGATAGTTTGCAGGCAAGGATGCAGGCCCTTTTTTATAAAGGGCACATACAATAGCGGCCTTGAAGTCAAAGGGCTCCCGGCCTTGAAGGGCAATCCTGGCGCATAGGGGCCAAAGCCAGCGTCCGGCATGGGCGCCCTGCGACCGCCAGAGCTCATTGCGCAGTCCATCCGGTCCAGGGGCTTTAGCCGGGGCTTGGCGGATGCAGAGCTGCTCCAGCTGGAGCAGAGAGGGGACCGCTTCAAAGCAAAGGAGGCAGGGCGAGGACATCCAGCGGGCTGCCGCCTGGGACAATTGCGCGGCCTCAACCCTGCTGGCTCCTTCTTGGGCGCGAAATTGGTCTTCAAGCTCCGGATCAATGTCGTATCCCCCAGCCGCATGGACGGCCCGCCGTTCGTGGGACTTACGAGAGGCCCAACGGAGATGCCGGATGGACTCAAGAGGGACTCCGGTAGACTCCCAATGCCGAGCGGCTGCAAGGGTGATGGAGCGAAAGTGGGCTTGTTTGTCAGCACGGGCGAGATAGTGTGCCTTTTGCTGCAGGCCACGCACATGCAAGTTGCAGGCTTGGAGCAGAAGCCTAGCGTGCTGGAGGCCCGTAGGGTCGGGTCGAGCGGTGCTGGCATCGGGGCGCGCACAGCAGTGTCGCCAGACCTGCAGGAGAAAACGCCGCTGTTGCCACTCGACATTGGCTCGCAAAGCGGGAAGTTGTTCCCGAACCTGCCTGACCGTCTCGAGAGCAGCAACAGAGGAGGAAGAAATATACGGCTGGCGGATGGGTCGCCGCGGCGGGCTGGGGAGAGCACGCAGGAGACGGAGGTGCCGCTTCTTAAGGGCTTGGACCTCATGGCCGACACTAACGATTGCGCCAATGGAGGGAGAGAGACCTTGCCAGAGATCAACCGCAAGAGTTTGAGCTTGCAAAGCGGTGGCCCGTGGAGGGGGGCGCAGGCGCGCGGCAGGGGCCGGTCGACCCCGAAGCTCACATTCAACCAGCAAGGGCATATGATCGCGCCGACCGTTCAGAATATCGAGTTCAGGGAGCTGGCAGGAGCGGCGGTAATTCCAGGAACCCGCCTGGAGCAGGATGTGATCAAGGCGCTTGCGGGTACCACCAGTGTGCTCCCAAGACCAACCCGGGCCAACCTGGATATCAGAGAAAGA